TCTTTAAGAAAAATTACGCCCCCACCTACAATGAAATCATGGCTGCTCTTTATCCAACTAAAACAAATGCAAGGACTACACTAGGTACTGATAGTTACTATGTAGCACAGATACTTCAAAAGGGGGATACATACCCATATTCAGTGCATATCGATATTTGGACACTACGACTCTTAATAGACAATTGTTGCATATTTCTTTTGATGTATTCTAAATTTTGCAAAATTTATTAAATTTAACAAAAACATATCTTGTACATATTTAATGTTTAAAAGTTAAAATCGAGTACATATGGAACAATGAGTTCATAATTCTATTCGGCTTTTGAACAATGAGTTCAATTTTGTTAGGTTTAGATGTATTGTTGTATGCTTTGATTTTCAGCTCAGGTAAGGTTATCTTTTCCTTCTGGTTAGCCTATTTGTGTGAACAGATCTATCATTATTTAAATGATTATGTAATGTCTCATACGCTTTGATGCATCCAATAAGAATTCACTGTAAGTTAGTAGCCACCAATATTACGGGTAAAAAAGACCGAAAGTGCTGGTAGCACGAAACAACTAGCAAACTAGCTGTTGGTCGATATTTACGATTAGTCGTAAATCATAATGTATTATCCAAAAAAAACATATGATTATGTTTGTCTCTACATCAGAGGAGGACCGTGGGGTCAGCAGATAGAATGCCATTTCTTTGTATTTTGTTCCGAATGGTGCACTTAGTGTCATCAAATATCTGTAGGGTCCACTAATAAATGTATGGAATTATATGCACAAGGAAAACTAAGACAGCAAAAAATGCACTTTCTAGTTTGTTGTGTGTGACAAATATGGCAGGTCACAATAGCAAGCTAATGATAAGTGCTAGAATCGAGAGGATGGTGCAGCATTCCCAAGTTGCAAGTCCAGTGAAAACAAAATTGTATGAGACGTGCAAAAGGATATTCTGATAATGGTGAATATTATATACCATATGATATTCATATATACAGTAACTGCCCAAGCTTCCAGAAGGTAAATCAAGTGGATATCCAGTCTGAATAAATATCTGCATCATAACAACCGAATCAAACAGGTATAAGAATGTGCACAATCAAAGGTTATGTTGCTCTAACTATAAATAAGTTGGAGAAAGGAAATGATGGAATGAGAGCAGCTCAAACATATAGATTGATAGGGAACATAGAACTTGGATGCAAACCTTGGGGTTCTTTTCCATTTCAACAGTAAGAGCCCCAATTGACCCAGGATGCAGCCTAACATCGTCATCCAGAAACAAGACATACTTGCTTTCTTTATGCATCTTCTCTACACCAACCTGTATTAATGTGCCATAATGTCACATGTCATTATATTTAAAGATGTATTTCTTAGCAAAGTATTTAGGTTAGAGAGAAACAAATTAATCATGTTCCACTTACATGTTATTTGTTGAAGAAAATACAGTCATAATCATACATACTTGGCTACTAACAAGAAACGAGTAGACAGATTTTAATTTTCAGGAAAAATAGTGACCATACAATTCCATGCTCTGGGAGCTTGTTCTCTTAATCATTTTTTTTAATGAAAATGTTATGTAAATATAGCTTCATTTTCCTTGCCCAAAAGCTCCACTAACTATGTTATTTCCATATAACTTCTACATCAAAGAGTAAGTTGAGAATCTCGAGATTGTACTATTCCTGTAACCAAAAAGATATAAGGTAGAAGAGTTCTCCATCCTCTTTCAAATACTGTAAATACAACAAAAAATTTGTACAATTTCTTATCAAATTAACGATTAATCAGATTTTTTTTTCATATTAAATCACTTTCCACTTTGCTTCTCAATATTTTTCCTTACAAACCTTGCAACCAATGAAGCTTTAAGCCAATTAGTTTTCTAAAGAAATAAAAAGGTGAAGCAAAGTAAGTTTTCCACAAAAGAAGGAAATAACTATCATTTCTTCTATGATGTTCTAGGATAATTATATATGAATATCAGAAACCTAGGCAGGACCAGTGAAGTTAACATTTTTATCTTTCACAAGGTAATCAGTCTTTTTTTATTGCATTTTTTACAATTATAAATGTCTATGAAAAGTGCTTCCATGTATTCTTTTAATATTCTTGCCAGCAGACTCAAAAAAACTCTATGTATGACATGTTTAATGAATAGATTGCGAGAGAACAAGACATTTCTTGAGAAATATTCAGAAAATTCTTGCAGCATAAAAATGGATACAAAATACTTTACATACTAACTGATTATGGATCTTTTGACTGCATGTTGTGGACAACCCAGCTACAATTATCTTTGCATCGACACTGTCCTGAAATGTAATTTCAGTAAAAGTTCAATTAATATTCAGAATCATCCTTGTCCGTCAAATGTGTTGTCACAAGATAAAGAAAAATCAGGTTAAGAAAATAGCTATAAAGATGCGACATCTCATGCATTGTCCTACCTTAAACTCTGCAAGCAGCTTAGATACAGCAAAGTATGCGGGATCCTCGTTGCTTTCAACAACAAATAGAAACTCCAAAGGCCCTCCATAGAGAGAAGTTATCTGCATTCAAATAAACAGATACAGAATTCAAGTATCCACTATCTGCATTAAAGATTACAATGCACATGCACTTCTATCTGCAAGCACATCGTAGATATAGAACCGCTTCTCTCTCTCGATCTCTCGATCTCTCGATCTCTCGATATGTATGTACGTACAAATGTATGTATGTATAACATATACACACACGCATATGAGACATCTACAGACTACCTTGTTAAGAAGAAAATTAAATTTATAGGCAAATGCAGTTCTAATTCACTGTGGAGGAACCTCTGGAAATATATCAAATATTACCTGTGTTCTCCAATTGTGCAAATTATGTTCTCCAAAGCCCTTCAAGGGCATGATAACTGATACTCTAGGTAAATTCAGCTGAGCAGAATGCTCGAGGTCATTTATATCATCACAAAGAAATGCAAAACAGTTTCCACCTTTGATATTACGCTCTATTTTCCTTCTTTCTTGATTCCTGAAAGAAAATAACATAAAATTCAAAGTAGGAAACATGTCAATACACCTCCTGATAATATGTACATTTTCTTAAGAAATAGGATACCTGACATATGCAGCTAAGCTCCATCCGAGAGCAAGAGTTAAACAGATAAAACATCCCTAAAAAAATAATAAAATAAAACTCCAGTTAAAATCAAAACACTCACTGAAGGATAGTCAATAGATGGTTAATGTCTTAAAGATAAAATTTCCAAAAAAGAAATGGGTTTAGAAAAGATAAGCCATATTGACTAAACAGAAAAGAATGATAAAGTTAACACATTTTCTAGAGAGAATTTCATACTAATGATAGCAATCTCAAAAATGAACATGGTGGATCACAAAGATAGACAAAATCTTAATCACTTAGGTGCTTTGTTTTAATATACCATTCTCATCCACTAAAACAACAGTAGTTTGCACTGCAAATGGAAAATTGCAAATCTAGATTGTAGTAAGAGTAGTCAAGAAAATAATGACGCCTTGGACTTCGTCAGAGTGTTGAATATTGAAGACCATTATCGTGCAGCATATTCTTCTATATGTATGTGTGTTTTTGTCTTCTTTTTTAAAAGTTCTAAAAAATAAGCATTTATGATAACTCCAGAATGAACCATTGTCGATGTAGGACGCATAACGAAAGAATTGATGGAGCATGTGACCGTCGCGAGCCAAACACGGATACAGTTGCATTGTTGCATTGACAGCGAAGAAAAGGCAATACCTCCTAATCCAAAGAGCAAAATAAGACATATTATATATGAAAATTGCCTATCTTGACGAGACGGAGACATCCAGATTGACAGGTTCCTGAAATTCCATTAACAGTACCCTTTTTGGCTGAAATCCGAAAATAATCAGCTTTTAATTTATTTTTAATAATAAAGTTTCAGTATATTTACGGTAGGAAAGAAATTTAATTTTGATTCAATTTGGACAGATTTGTTTCCTCTAATATAGGGTGTTTTTTAGGTAGTTTTGAAGAAGTTCTATATTTTAGGAATTCTATTTCTATTAGGAGTAGGCTTTACTTTTCTACTTAAGAGGAAGAATTATAAACTCTATGAGTGGATCACTTTTCATTATAAAATTCCTCTTATAATACTTTCTCCGTGGATTCGAAGTCCTTTGTGGATTCGGAGATTTTCGTGAATTCAAAAACCACCCTCGGTGGATTCCGAGGTTTTCAACTTCCGCGTTGTGTTAATTGATCTCATCCATGAGATGATCGATTTATTAACTACTCAGATGCATCTTCACTTGTAAAAGAAGAGAAGACAATGTGATAAACGCTAAATCATCTAAACCTGCACACTCTTAATTTTTCTCATGTTCATTGCTTCTCTTAACCCTTATCTTGCTTGCACCATCAAAACCTTGCAAACCTCTGCTTTTTTAGATTTTTTCTCTACCGACTATGATGCAAAAACAATTATCACATCCCTCTCCTCTCAACCTATCCCAAGAAAGGCAGTTTCACTGTAATCATCATGTTTGAAGGTACAATGATTGATCCTGATTTTCTTTTTTTACAAGTTGATAGGAAGGTAGAGTAAAGATGCACATATTTCTAAGATAAGATCTATGAATATCCCACCTGATCTGATTTACACTTTTAAAGCTCCAACCTAAAAGGGAGAAGGCTACTCAGAGTAAAATCCAAATGAAGTTAAACAGTAACCATTATGGAAAAACAACACCATGTATTGGTCATGTAACTTTGAGAATTAATGTCTTGAATGAGTCAAACGCATCTATTTCCTTCATTTCAAGTGAGGCGTGAAAGGGAATATGAGAGTGATAGATTGGAACTGATATTAAAACTCTTAAACATTAAGATTGGTATAAGAGGAGCTTCCAGGGAAACTTGGGGGAGGTTAAGATGAAGAATGGACTAGCTATCTGATTGCAACGGAAAGAAGACGAGAAAATAGCCGAATTCAACCTCTGCTTTTTCAGATTTTTTCTCTACCGACTATGATGCAAAAACAATTATCACATCCCTCTCCTCTCAACCTATCCCAAGAAAGGCAGTTTCACTGTAATCATGATGTTTGAAGGTACAACGATTGATCCTGATTTTCTTTTTTTACAAGTTGATAGGAAGGTAGAGTAAAGATGCACATATTTCTAAGATAAGATCTATGAATATCCCACCTGATCTGATTTACACTTTTAAAACTCCAACCTAAAAGGGAGAAGGCTACTCAGAGTAAAATCCAAAAGAAGTTAAACAGTAACTATTATGGAAAAACAACACCATACATTGGTCATGTAACTTTGAGAATTAATGTCTTGAATGAGTCAAACGCATCTATTTCCTTCATTTCAAGTGAGGCGTGAAAGGTAATATGAGAGTGATAGATTGGAACTGATATCAAAACTCTTAAACATTAAGATTGGTATAAGAGGGGCTTCCAGGGAAACTTGGGGGAGGTTAAGATGAAGAATGGACTAGCTATCTGATTGCAACGGAAAGAAGACAAGAGAAAATAGCCGAATTCTTATATTTTGCAGGTGCAAGTAATCCAGTGCCGTGCGGATTTCAACAATATTGCAGCACCCTGGACTTGACGATCATGACTTCATGATCAGGAGTTGAGAGTTGCTTTCTATTTGATATTTTGGCGGCTAATTTGAATATCAGTTTAGTTTCCTCTGTATTTTAATAATCCCTAAAAATAATTAAGCCTAAAAGATGGTCCAAACTTTTAAACAAATTGTCTCCATTCATATGCATTACCACATATTTTAAGGTATTTTCCCCACAATATCTGCAACTACATAATGAACCAAAAAGAAAAATGAACCTTTAAGAAAAGGCACAATTCTTGATAGCTCCTTAAGTCAACTTTCCCTCTATTCCAAACCCATTCTAATTTTTTCCCTTCCCATTTAACCTTATCTACCACATTTGAGTCTTACGATCAGAGTTCATTCCCGAATTTTGAATATCAGAATTAATTCCTGATAGATCCTTTAATTAAATTTCCCTTTTTTTAAATCATTCCAAAACAAAGGGAAAATGCGGCATCTCCTAAAATAATCAAACATTGAGCAACAAATTTCTTCTATCCAAATTCAATGCAAACACTATGCTAAGATCAAAAGAAACAAGACCAAACCAAGAAATCTAAGCATCGTCTGCAACTACATAATGAACCAAAAAAAAAATTTAAGACCAGAGTCAGCTCCTGATAGCTCTTCAGATATTTTCCTTCTAACTAGGAATTATTTAAAATTTGAATAAATCATTGAAACAAAGTGCAAATACACCATCCTTCTAAAAAAATCATAGCTCAAGCTATAAAAACGAAAATTTCAAGACTAGAGTTATTTAGCTCCTTTTATCCAGTTTCCCTCTATTTTGAAATATTTCAACAGGAAGCTAAGTAGCATTGGTCTCTGAGAACTAAACATGATCTTCAATCGAAAGAAAATAAGAATACGATCAGAGGAGCAGAAATCGACCTGGATCTGGACGAAGATCGCCAAGGGACTGCAGCAGAATCTACTTGCCGAGGCCAAAAACGAGTCTAAAACGGCGAAAGACGCCATTTTTTTTTTTGGATTAAATACCTAATTTCCGACGAGATTCTCTCAAATCTCCATCGAAGAGGAGGGAGGAGAGAGAGAGAGAGAGGGAGAAAACGGGGGGACGAAAGGAGACCCCTTTTTTAAACGTAGTAGAAAAAAAAATCTTGGATTTTAATTTATTTTGTAAAGCGTTTACTTATTATTAGCGAATGGACTACTTTTTTGTTTCCTTTTTGGGGAAATTCAAGGCTTCTTGCAAATAACACCTTTATTATGCAGATTTTTCTTTTAGTACATCCTCTAAACTCCCTTGAATTTATTTTCGGCCTGCTTTCTGATTTTTTTTTCCCGTGAATATTTGATGTAATATGTTGTAATGATGGGATATAACAAAAATGAGAAAATTGTCTCTAGACCCCAAAAAAATAAAGGGATGTGACTCAGCTCCTCCATATTTTTCCATTGCTCTTTAACCCCTAAAACACTAAAAATTGTGTTCAGCCCCCTTTTCACGCTCTCCCAGAAATTCATCTCAATACATTCCGAAAATACCCCTTCCCTTTATCTTCTTCTTCTCATCCTATGTGGCTTTTTCATCCTCCTCTCACTCTCCTCCCCCTTCTCCCCTTCCTCTATGGCTTCATCTTCTCCGCGGCCACCAACGCCGACGCCGATCTACTCTTCCTCAGCCTCCTCGAGCACGAAGATCTCCCGACGATCACCAACGCAGTCTCGTTTCGGTCGGATCTCAAGTGGAGGTCTGATCCAACGACATCAGGCTCCAAGGCTTGATCAAGGGGGCGATTGCTGGCGGAGGATGAGTAGTATCAAGTCTATTCCCATTTCAGGCATGGATGTTACTCAATTTGTAGGGGGTACAAGCTTCTTATGAACAAGTACAGACACGTGGTTCCTTGTGCTGGTCTTTAATATTGTGCTGATATTGAGGATGGACTTTAAATAAACATGATTGCTTTAAGATTTTTATCTGAACAAAGTCTAATGTTATATGGGACGACTGCTTTAAGACTTTAAACAGACAAGTGGTTCCTAGTTTGTAGTAAGCTTTGTTAGCCTCTTCAAGTTTTGGCTGTACAAATGTATTTGAGGCCTGTACTTTTTTTAGTTGACATCTTATTAACCCTGGGAAACCCTGAACAGCCAATAAAAGTTGATCCTATACTTGGGGAACATTAACATTTCAATTTTCTTAAAAATCACGAAGCCTGAGTTTTTTTGATATGGATAACCAATAAAAGTTTATTTGTTTTTCTGATCCTATACTTGGGAAACATTAACATTAATGTTTTTATGTTAGTGATCCTTGTAGGCTGTCTAAAAATCACAATGGATAGCTAATCCCTATTAAGCCCCGATAATGGAAGTTACAATCAGACGATTTTCTAATCACTGCATCCGCAACTCTACAATCGCTACAAATACGATCTCATCTCTGAGATGATTGATCTTGATGGCTGCGACAACAACATGACTAATATTATATTAGCAACTATTAGAGATGCTGATGAGCAGTGTAATGATTTCAGAAATAAAAGGTTGGACTTAGCTGGTGAGTTGCTTGGTAGAGAGCTGTGGGTAAATATTCGTCTAAAAATCACTATGGATGATTGATTCCCATCAAGTTTCAATAATGAAAGCTACAATCAAATAGCTTTCGTGCCGACAAACGAAGGTTGCAAATAGGAGACTTTTCACACAGATCGAGAAGAGTTACAATTCAATGACGCTTCCGACAGCTGACGAAAACTCTATTCAGTGACCTTCACAATCAACAGTGAGAGTTACAATTTGATGACTCTCATATCCTATAACAGGCAAAGATCAATAAGCAGTAGTCTTTGCAGTGTTATAATGGACGAGGTTATAAGTCAACAACCTCTCTCAAACGCAGAACTCACTTCTGCGTTTCTCAAATTCAAAACGCAAGGTCCACATCTGCGTTTCCCAAATTCAAAACGCAGACGAACTGTGCATTCCCCAATAGACGTCCAACTCTGCAACGCAGAGTTAAAACACAAAACGCACAAACTGTGCGTTCTTCGGCAAACACTAGACGTCCAACTCTGCAACGCAGAGTTAAAACACAAAACGCACAAACTGTGCGTTCTTCGGCAAACACTCAACACTGCGTCCCAAATCCAGGACGCAGAGTTGAGAACTCGACACACGAGCGGCCTGTGTGTCTCAAATCTCCAACAGATATTTAACTCTGTGTCTCAAGCCTTGGACGCAGAGTTAAGGCCCAGAACGCCAACTGGGGCGTTTTGACTTGTTCAAACACAAGCCGAACGGCCTCAAAACCGATATCCCACGTTTTGAGGGATTTTTGCCCACTTAGGAGCGGATTTAGGGGTTGGTTACACCCCTAATCCCCCTATAAATAACCGATTTACTCAATTGAGTAAGGGTTGACGAGTGCTGGTATCAAAAACCGCTTAAGGTTCACAGATCTCGGTAGCTAAACCGCACGAGGAGGAGATTTCTCTGAAGATCAACAAACTACTTAGTAGTTAGCACATCAAATCTAAGAGGATCCCTTCATCAATGGAAAATCAACTTGGCTATTAACCGAATCTTCGGTTCTAACAACTCTGTTACAGAGTTTCAACTCACTCTGAGTTCTGAAACTCATTTAAGAGTTCGTGATTAAGCTTGCAACACAAGTTAATTACACCAAACCAGTTATTCGGTTTTCAACAACTCTTGTCAGAGTTTCCAACTCGTTCTGAGTTCATTAAACTTGTTAAGAGTTCTAAACCGAATTCATCACACAAGTCAATTATTCCCGTGAGATAAGACGGTCGGATCGTCAACGGAGAGCAAGTTCGACACAAGCCATCGAAGGAGACACTCCATCGCTACCAAGAAGAACTCAGTTTTAAACAAAGGAGAGAATCAAATTCATTCTCCTCTCTTTTGTAATCGGAATCCAAATTGTAATTGTTAAACAAAGGAGAGAATCAAATTCATTCTCCTCTCTTTTGTAATCGGAATCCAAATTGTAATTGATTTTGAGAGACTCTTTTGTAATCGGAATCCAAATTGTAATTGATTTTGAGAGAATACAAGTTAATTTTTCTTTCATTGTTTTTTTACTGCAAATTTCCAACAAACAATCCTATACTTGGGGAATATTAACATTTCAATTTTCCTAAAAACCAGGGAGCTTGAGTTTTTGATATGGATAACTAATAAAAGTGCAATTGTTTTTCTGATTTCAGGAGGCAAGATTCCCTCGACTACGTACGCTATCACTTGATCAGAGAGCGCGGCTAAAGGCCAGTTTTCTTCATTTTGACGACTATAGCTTCTGTGAGTGGATGCGTAGCTTGAAGCTTGTACCCCCAGAAATGTGCAAGCTTGTACTTCCGCATCCCCTGAGCCTTTGATTAAAATTACTTGGCTTTTGGTTGATGTTATTTTGTGATCTATCAACTTTCATTCATATACATGCAGTACTTCTTGTTATGTGCATCTTGTAATTCCGTGTTGTGTTTACTTTTGTATTTGGGGTCTTACTTAGTGTAGGCTGTCTAAAAATCATAATAGATAGCTTATCCTCCATCAAACACCGATGATGAAAGTTATAATCTGACGACTTTCAGAAGGCTACAATTTGAAGACTTTTACGTAGATCGCTGAAGGTTACAATCTGACGACCTTCACGACAACCGATGAGAGCTCTAGTTCAATAGCATTCACAATCAACATCGGAAGTTACAATCTGACGACTCTCATATTCTCAAGGAGCCAAGACGAAGATTACAAGACAATGATCTTTGCAACGCTATGACAAAAGAGATTACTTTGTGATAATCTCTTCAAGACAAGACGCGGAGGTTCTCCACGTGTGTCAACATCAAAACACCGGGGTCGATCCCGCGTTACAACATCAAAACGTGAGGATCGAATCCACGTTACAACATCAAAACGCCAGGGTCAAACCCGCGTTATAACATCAAAACGCTGGAGTCGGACCCGCGTTACAACAAGCGAAACCTGAGCGACCCTCGCGTTCTGGATGTTCAGTCAACACCCAACCTCGCGTCTCAATCCTAAGACGCGAGGTTAGGGTCCTGAACGCCAGGTTGGGCGTTTGACTCATTCAAATATGAGTCGAACGGTTTCAGAACCGTTTTCCCCACGATCTGAGGAAATCACGCCCACTTAGGAGCGGATTTAGAGGGCAGTTACACCCCCTTAATCCCCTATAAAAGCGAGTAAACTCAACTGAGTTCAGGTTGGAATTTCTTGGCTCAGACCGACCATTGAAAGCTGGCTTTTTGGAACCAAAGAGGGGGCTGGGTTGATCGGAGAGACGGGCATTTTCCGGATCTGGGAATTGGCAGCAACAGGAGAGATCCTTGGGCGAGCTTTTGAGGGGATCGGCATCATCCTCCAACGAAGATTATCTTCAACTTCGACAACAGAGAGCTTTGATCCTTGGCTTATCAACCGAATTTTCGGTTCAAATCAACTCTTTTTCAAGAGTTCAAACTCGATCAGAGTTATCAACTCATCAAGAGTTTTAAACTTGTCACACAAGTTCTCCACAACGTCAAATCGTGAGGAGAAGACATCGTTCCAATGAATCAAGACGTGCGGATCGTCAACGGAGAGCAAACTCGACGCAAGCATTCGAGGGAGGCACTCCATCGCCACCGTGAAGAACCCAGTTTTAAACAAAGAGGAAGAACCAATTTCGTTCTCCTCTCTTTTGTAATCGAATTATAATCGGAATCAAAGAAATACAAGTCAATTTTCTTTATTCTTTTCATTGCAATTTTTCCAACCAACAAAAGATGGCGACTCTGCTGGGGAAGAGCTTCTCTGACGAAGAAGTGATGGCGCAATCCGATGTTCATCTCACTGGAACAATCGTCGAAACTCTCGAGATTTCCAACTTGTAAGGGTTTTAATATAGAACTTTGTTTAGAGATATTGAAGTTTGCTGATTTTTAGGTATGTGTGTGGGTTTGTTGTTATTAATGTTATCTGTTTGATGGATGTTTGATGAATTGCTTGAATCAGTTACTTGTTTAGGTTTTCCATGCATTCACGCACACATGGTTTGTTTAGCAAATATATTTATAATTTTACAGATGATTGTTGTT